TAACAAGACCTGGCAATGGCTAAGAGCAGGAAAATCGAAGAAAGAGACCGAGGGACTAATTCTGGCTGCACAAGACCAAGCCTTAAGGACAAATGCATATAAAGTCAAAATTGAGAAGACAGCAACAGACAGTAAGTACCGCCTATGCAAAGAAGCTGAAGAAACAGTGGACCGCCTGGTAAGCTGTTGCAAGAAGATTGCACAGACTGACTACAAGCAGCGGCATGACAAAATAGCAACAATGGTGCATTGGAAGATCTGCAAAAAATATCATTTGCCTATAAGCAAAAACTGGTGGGATCATAAAACAGAGAAAGTCATAGAAAATGATAAAATTAAACTGCTCTGGGACTTCAGAATTCAAACAGACAAGCACCTGCAACATAACACCCCAGACTTAACAATTGTCGATACGAAAGACAAAAAAGTCGGGATAGTGGACATGGCAGTGCCTAGAGACAGCAGAATAGACGAGAAAGAACTGGAGAAGATAACCAAATACAAAGACCTACAAATAGAAATAGAAAGACTGTGGCAAAAGCAAGCAAGGATAGTACCAATAGTCATAGGTGCCTTGGGTGCAATCCCCAAACAACTGGAGCACCACTTGAACACCATTGGCATTGACAAATTCGCTATTAGTCAATTGTAAAATTAGTCAATTCACTATTAGTCAATCGCTATTAGTCAATTGTGGCTTTACTAGGAACTGCTTCCATCCTGCGACAATATCTGTAATACCATCAAACATCAACATCTGCCTATCCTAGGTCCTGGGTACGGACTCAGTAGGTAGACAAAATGCCAAATCCAGTCTGAACATCTGGCTGACTGTGCGATGATCAATAATAATAATAGTTGGGAGGTACCTTGGAGGTCATCTAGTCCAACCCCCTGCTGCAGGAAACCCTATACCATTTCAGACAAATGGCTGTGTGTACTCTTTCTAGAGTCGTGGTGACCAAAACTGGATGCAGTATTCCAAATGTGGCCTTACCAAGGCATTGTAAAGTAGTATTAACACCACACGATCTTGATTCTATCCCTCTGTTAATGCAGCCTAGCACTGTGTTGGCTTTTTTGGCAGCTGCAGGACACTGCTGACTCATATTTAAGTGAATGTCCACTAGGATTCCGAAATCCCTCTCATAGTTACTACTATTGAGCAAGGTACCACCTATACTAGACCTGGGCATTTGGTTTTTCTTTACTAAATGTAGAACCTTACTTTTTTCACCACTGAATTTCATTTTGTTAGATAGAGTCCAGTGTTAAAGTCTGTCAAGATCCTTCTGTATTTTAAGCCTATCTTCTGGATTGTTGGCTATTCCTGCCAGCTTGGTGTCATCTGCAAATATGATGAGTTCCCTACCTATCCCCTCATCCAAATCATTGATGAAGATGTTGAAGAGAACTGGGCCCAGAATGGCTCTGGGGCACCCCACTACTCACTTCCCTTGACGTAGATGCAGTTCCATTGAGGACTACACACAGAGTAATGGCCGGTCAGCCAGCTACGAATCTATCTGGTGGTGATGCTGTCTAACCCACATTTTTCTATCTTCTCAAGTAGTAGGTTGTGGTCTACTTTATCAAATGCTTTACTGAAGTCCAAGTAAATTATATCCACAGCATTCCTCTAGTCCACTAATTCTGTCACTTGGTCAAAGAATGCAATAAGATTTGTCTGGTGTGATCTGTTTTTGACAAACCCATGTTGGCTTTTGGTAATGACTTTTTTTGCCTCTAGGTGTTCATTGATTCATTGCTTGATTATCTTTTCTAGAATCTTCCCAGGTATTGAGGTCAGGCTGATAGGTCTGTAGTTTCCTGGATCCATTTTTCCCCTTTTTTGAAGATGGGAACTACATCAGTTCTTTTCCAGTCCTCTGGTAGTTCCACAGTGCTCCAGGATCTTTGAAAAATATGGTTCAATGCTTCTGAGATCACATCTGCCAGTTCCTTGAGAACCTTGGGTATAATCCATCTGTTCCTGGTAATTTGAACTTGTCTATGGTAGACAGGTGCTCACTTACCATTTTCTTGCCTACTTAACTTGTGTTTCTAATCTGTTTTTTATGATACAATTTTTGATAGGTTTTACTGTTTTTTCCCTTTGTGTAAAGATGGATGCAAAAAACAATTTAAATAGTTCTGCTTTTTCCCTGTTGATTGTCACCTTCTTGCCATTTTATCTCACTAATGGACCAATCATTTCATTAACTTTTTTCTTGCTTTTTACATGTTGAAAGAAGCTTTTTTGTTATTTTTTATTTTTGTCGCAAGCCTTAGTTCATTTTGAGCCTTAGCTTTCCTCACTTCATCTTTGTAGGCTCAGGCTATTTGCTGATATTCTCCTTAGTTATGTGCCTGTCTTTCCACTTTTTATACTTGTACTTTTTGTCTTTCAATTTATCAGAGAGTTCTTTATGTAGTCATGCTGGTTTCTTTTGAGAGCTGTTATTTTTCTTCTTTATTGGTGTTACGCTAGACTGGCCTTTTGTAATCTCACTTTTCAATATTTCCCAAGCTTCTTGAGCTGTTTTCCCCTTGAGGATTCTCATCCATGGAATCCTTCCCAAGCTCTCTCTAGGTTTATTGAAAGACTCTAGTTTGTCTGTGTTATATTCCATGTGCTTGCATAATCTTGAATTCCAATATTGCATGATCATATCAAAATCAGAGAAGGTCTGGAATATCAGCTGTCTAATAACAAACATCATGCTAGGTCATATAACAGTCATGTAATGGTCAAGAAAAGGCTGAAGTGACCCAGAATGGAATATGTTATCTTCACCATGACAAAGAATAAAGGGATAAGCTGCCCAAGGTCTGTGATGGAAGATCCCCAATTTATGCACACATTGATCATCTATGGAATCTTCCCCAACATCCATGCCTTACCTGATCAGTACTGTAATGGGCAAAGAAATATGAGTATTTGTAATGCTTAAGCAATTCTAATAATTGCTTAATAAATTGTGACAACTCCTCAAGTACCGAAAGATTGATATCATATTACTTCTAGTCCTTCTGTTTGTTAAACTAGACATATCTAGTTACCTCAATCATTTTTCATATACCTTAACTTTTAGATCCCTCATTTATTGTTATTGCTGTTATTTGCACTCTTTCTAGAGTCTCAAAATATTTTTTGGTATTGTGGTAACCAGAACTGATCACATAGACCAAGTATAGCCACACCTGTGCAGTATAAAGCAGTACAATCACTTCACATTATCTTGAAACTATCCTTTTGTTGATGCAACTTAGGGCCACATTAGCTTTTTTGGATTATACTTAAATGGTGGTCTTCTGGAACCCCCAGATCCACTCACAATTGCTACTGCTGAGCAAGTATACTTGTACATTTGGTTTTTCTTCCTCAAATGTAGGACCTTACATTTCTCACTACTGAATCACATTTTGTTGGATCGGGACCAACATTCAAATCTGCATCTTGAATCTATCTTCTAAAGTGTTACTTATTCTTCCCAGGTTGGAGTTGTCTATAACTTTGATGAATTCCACCATACATCGCCTCATCTAGATCATGTTGAAAAGTATTTGGCCTAAAACAGAATCTTGAAGTATCCCACTCCATACTTCCCTCTATGTAAATCTAGTTCCATTGAGGACTACCTACTGAGCATGGTTGGTCAGCCTGCTGAGAATCCATTTGTGGGTGGTACTCCCTATTCCACATCTTATCAAGAAATAGGCAATGGTCAATTTTGTCAAATCCTTACTGATGTCAAAGTATACTGTGTCCACAGAATTTCCCTTAGTCACTAATTCAGTCACTTTGTCAAAGAATGAAATAAGATTTGTCTGACATAGGCTGCTTTTGACAAACCCATGTTAGCTTCTAATAACTGTCTTGTTCATTTTAGGTGTTTACAAATGCACTGATTATCTTTTCCAGGATTTTCCCTAGATATTGATGTCACTCTGCTTGGTCTATAATTTCCTGTATTTGGTCCCCCTCCTCCCCTTTTTTTGTAGATTGGAGACACATCAACTTTTTTCCTTTGATATTTCCCCGATGCTCTAGAAGCTTTAAAATATTTTGTTCAATAGTTTCAAGATCATGTCTGCCAGCTCCTTCAGATACCCTGGGATATAATCCATCTGATCCTGGTGATTTTAACTTGTCTAGAATGGATAGGTGTTCTCTTACAATTTTCTTGCCTAATTTTGACTTGCATTCTGATTCTGTCTCCTATGGTACTGCTTTTGATAGGTTGGACATTTTTTTTATGTGTGAAGACAAATGCAAAGAATTTATTTGTTTAATTCCAGTGTAAGGAGAAAAAGTAAAATAAAATTCTTCAATTTATAATTTACTTTTCCTTACTTCCTGTAATAAATTTTAGAAAGAAATGATGCTGTGCATTTAACTAATAGTAGAAAAATCCAGAACATCTATTAATAAAGCCCTTGGGAAAGTCTTTCTATTGAATTAAATAACATGGCTAACAGCACCTGTCTTGGGATAGTTTTAAAATGAGCAGAAATAGAGAATATAGGTAACCTATTAGCATAAATACCTACTTTTTAACAACCTTTTTATCTTCAGCCATCATTAGCTGAATGAACTGCTGACAACATCAGTATAAAGCCCTGAGCTTTAAAGAAAATTGCAATATCCCATTTTCTGACGACAGAAAGAAAGAACAAAAGGAAAAAAGGAGAAAGAAAGAAAGAAAGAAAGAAAGAAAGAAAGAAAGAAAGAAAGAAAGAAAGAAAGAAAGAATCTTATCTTTACTTTATGGAAAAGACTCAAGCATGAAGATTCCTACTGGAATTGCAATAAAAATAGTAAGAAATTGCAAACAATCTTGTGGAAGTGTCCAGCAAATATTCTGATGCTCAGACACATCTACAGTTACAGTCCAGCAGATCTGTTCAGTCAAACACATGCAGGATAACTATGCAGAATAGCAGTTCTAGGTATTTTCTCATCAAGTAGGAAAGATAAATATCATTTTAAAACTTACTGTGCTGGCAGTGTATTCCATTAAATCCAGCAAGACATTTGCAGCTGTAGCCTATGAATGTGTCTCCTCTGTAGGCTTCACTGATTTCACATGTTCCACCATTATGGCAGGGATTAGGAAGACATGGCCCTGAAAGAATTTTTTAAAAAGACAAATGAAATACTGGATGCAAACCAAACAAAACAAAATAAAACCCAATTCTCTTGTAAATCTATTTCACTTATAGACTAATAAGCTTTTAAGATAAATTTATCAATGTTCAATGTTTAAAAATGCCACATTTTTATTGATATATTTTTCAGCTATCCCAGTATATTTGATGGGGTTTTTTAAAACCAAAGAAGAACAGGCAGAAAATAAGCCTCTGACACTTTATCTGAAAGGTGGTTGAGAAATTTTTAGATCAGGAAGTGGGCGTGGTCAGTTTCAAGGCTGGGACAATTCCCCAACGCCCTGGATGAAATTCATAGAGACCATCTATTCTATCGCGATGTAATTTTTAATCTAACATTGCTAGTGCTGAAATGATTCACCCCATACATATCGGTCCCCAAAGCCTCTTTTGAAACAGGATGGCTTTCCTTAATCTTGCAGTTAGATAAAGTCAAAATTCTGGCTATAACCTCAAGGATATACCTCTAGTATAAACCATTGAATTAGATAAATAACAGAGTGGGAAATCCATGGGCTTTAGACTAGGTGTTAGATTAAATACTATTTACTAAAATTATACTACCTGGGCATAACTGTAGGTTAAAGGCATCTATTCTAGTGTGAGAATTAAAAAAAAAAAGCTAATGAAAATTTTAGAATGGCTGATGAAGATTGGGAACAGATGAGGAAGGATGTGGATTAACATATATTAACAGAATATAGTTAAAGTAATTAACAGTGATAGATAAGCTGTGGCCTTTTCTTTTCCAGTATGTGAATAATAATAATAATAATAATAATAATAATAATAATAATAACAACAACAATAATAATAATAGTTGGAAGGGACCTTGGAGATCTTCTAGTCCAACCCCCTGCTCAGGCAGGAAACCCTATATCATTTTAGAGAAATGGTTGTCCATTCTCTTCTTAAAAACCTCCAGTGTTGGAGCATTCACAACTTCTGGAGGCTGGTTGTTCCACTGATTAATTGTTCTGACTGTCAGGAAATTTGTCCTTAGTTCTAGGTTGCTTCTCTCTTTGATTATTTTCCATCCAATGCTTCTTGTCCTGCTTTCAGGTGCTTTGGAGAATAGCTTGACTTCCTCTTCTTTGTGGCAACCCCTGAGATATTGGAACACTACTATCATGTCCCCCCTCATCCTTCTCTTCATTAAACTAGACATACCCAATTCCAGCGTTCTTTATATGTTTTAGCTTCCAGTCCCCTAATCATCTTTGTTGCTCTTCTCTGTACTCTTTCTAGAGTGTCAATATCTTTTTTATATCGTGGTGGCCAAATCTGGGTGCAGTATTCCAAGTGTGGCCTTACCAAGACGTTATAAAGTGGTGATCTTGATTCTATTCCTATGTTAAAGTGAAGGGATAAGTACATTTAAAGCAAAATTGTTCACATTGATGAATTTCTCTCTAGGCAGGTTTGTTTCCTCTTGAATAATAAAAAAAATAACAATGACCTCTTCCAAGGCTAAAATTCTGAAACAGAAAGTTCAGAGAATCCACGGAAGATTGATAAACAGAGGAAGAACATCAAAGAGTATAGACATTTGCTCTGGATCATAAAGCTATTATGAGCTAGCCACTTAATTATAAGCTTATCTGACTTATGCTATTATACATGGGCAAAATTCAACAATAATGCATTAATCGAATTCTCTGTATTCTTCAAAGTTCAAAGCAAACGTGTAATTAAAGTTTTTTAAAAAAACAAATGAGAGTTATGATCAGTATAAATTTAAAAGGGATGAATACTGAACAATTACACTATAGTTTTTCTAACTGGTGCATAATTCAGTATAGAATTAGTAAGTAATTAATGCAGCAGTACCACCTGGCAATTTGTAGCTAAGCATATTTCCCACTCTATATCATGAAGCATAAATCGTCAGAAGTAGCACAGAATTTGACATCTGCAACTTCTTTATTTTCGGAAAAGCAGCTATTGAGTAAAATTCGACGGAATTCCCTTTCTTAGTGTGCAAGTAAAATAAGCAAGTATTCTTTCCATGCATAAAGGAAAACAAAACTTTGAAATTAAATAGCTTCAGGAGATCTGAAAACTTTTATTCTGTTGTTAGAATCAGGACACAATGGCTGTACTGTATTTTATTTATATACATCAGAATTTCATGCTGTTCCATTTAGAGTAAACAATATTATAACAAGAGCAGAAAAGGAGGAAGAAATAGTAAGGAATTAAGGCATGAAAAATGGAAAAGGGAAGAAAACACAGATAAATCAGATTTAGAAAAATAACATTCATCATTCCTATTCATAAACTTCCATTTAGAAAACTATCTTTGCTTTTTACCTTAACCAGGTAAAGTTGAAAGGTTTAAAAACAAAAGGCACTATATGAATTATCATATAGTGCCTTTTGTTTTTAAACCTTTCAACTTTACCTTTTTGAGAAACTTACCAGCTCTAAGCAACTTTGAGTTTTTCAGTTTTTCTTTCTTCTCATCTGTTTACTGTATATACTGTAGTACAAAAAAAAATCATTGAAATGATTTGCTCATATAAAACAAAAAAAATTGGACTGAATTGCAAATGACTATATATATATGAATATTTATAAATCCACACAAACAAACAAACAAATAAATGTGTTTGTGTGGTGATATATAAATACATATACAGTATATGTATACATATACTGTATATCACCACACACACACACACACATTTATTTGTTTGTTTGTTTGTGTGGATTTATAAATATTCATGTATATATAGTCATTTGCAATTCAGTCCCATTTTTTTGTTTTATATGAGTAAATCATTTCAATGAATTTTTTTTTGTACTGATCTCTTGTCTATGTAATCCACAAAACTCATATGGAGTTATTTTTGTTCTTTAGGCAAACATTTATTTCTTGAAGCAAACTACCTATTACCACTGCTTTTCTATGCATTTTCATATTAAAATGTTTTATTCCATTTTACCATCTATAGTAAACTTTCTATAAATATGGTCAAATTCTTCAACTTGCTCTATGTCTGTCTGTCTGTCTGTCTGTCTGTCTGTCTATTATCTGTAATTATTTCTATTTTTTATCCCAAACACAATTGCCTTTGTATTTCATTAATTTTCAGTATTCCTCTAATCAACATTGGCAATAAAGTATTCAGATGGTCAGCCAATAGGCAATATTTTCTGCATACAAAAGTATATTCTCATTCATATCTCCAACAACCTCACCTTTAAAGTCATCAGAGCACTGGGTGCATATTTATTTATAAATACATTGAATAACCAAAGGAACACTGCATGACTCTCTTGCATGCATTTCTTTCATCATCTATTTCTCCTATTGCTCTTATTACATTCAGTAACCATTCATGAAAAATATCCTCTAATTTAATCCTATTCGCTTTACCACCTTCTTCTATATCAATATGCCCTCATCTTAAAGGTAACTTAGTCTTCCAGTTTCTAGCCCAGTACATTAATTGTTATACCAAACTTGTGTTAAATATTTTAACATTTTCCCAGTTATTTTTAGTGATAAATCATGATTTTAGCTGGAATATCTTGGCAATCAATGGTTTTAAAATTTTAAAAAGTAATTGCATGCTTGAAAACATATAAAAGGAACTCTCAATAGCTGCCATTATTTATTTATTTAATCATTCATTCATTCAATTTCTATGGTTACTCATCTCAGTCAATCATTCTGGACAATATACAGTTATGTTCTCTGTTTAGAAAATTAAACCTCATTCTCTGAAAATCAGTAGTTTTTTTTAAAAAAAGTTTATTTAAAATCTCTCATTGTTATAAACATTTTTACCAGTTTATTATAAGTAAAATGACTGGAGTGTTCAAGAATTGCACTTTTTTAATAATCTAAAAAGGGTTGCAATTTTCTTCATAAAAAGACTATTGACTTTTTAAGTGCACTGATTCTTAATTCACCATAGTTAACATTCATTATCAAAGAAACATATATAGAAATATACAAAAATATATTAAAGAAATTATACATCTAAACAAGGGTGAAGGTTTATAAATCATCTAAATGGGACCAAGTCACATTTAAATATTAGTAAAAGCTAAAAATGGCATTTCAGAAATAGGAAAAAGATGTAGCACTTACATTATATCTACAATTTTTATAGCATTAAGTTAAAATTAAAAGCAACTGCTTTTAAATGAGTCAGACTGGAAAGGACAGGATTATTAGCTACTGCTACTGATTAATCAATTAATCAGGCTATCTTACCTGCATATTAAATTTCAAATGAATCCCTCTCTCTTTAAATATAAAGCAATATATCTACATTTTATATTATAAGAGGATTTTCATTTATAATCTTCCACATGCTAGTTCCCAATATAGCCATATCAATAGAACTTAGATTTATACATTGTGTCACAGTGCTTTACAGCTCTCTCTAAGTGGTTTACAGAGTCAGCACATGGCCCCCAACAATCTGGGTCCTCATTTTACCAACTTTGGAAGGATGGAAGGCTAAATCAACTTTGAGCCAGTCAGGATCAAACTGCTGGCAGATGGCACAGTTAGCCTACAATATTGCATTGTAACCACTGAATCACATGGCTCAGGATATAGGATTTACCATCATTTTTCTGAAAAATTCCCCCTCTTTCTCTGAGATATTGTAGGGATTCTTTAAATTTAAAATGGACATCCATTCTAGGCCTTTTTAGTAATAGCCCCTGTACCTTAAATATATGGTCCCTGAAAGCACACTGAGATCCAACCATTCTTGCAATCTGAAAGGACCTGACAACCATTTTATCCAAACTCTTTCTGGCCTTTTAGTTTGATTGTTGCCTGCCAACTGATTGTATTAGTACTGACTGTATTATTATGTTACATTTTAATGAATTTGATTAATTATGTTTTTTATTTGTATCTTTGCAATAAACCCACAGTCTATGTTGACTGGGAGAATCTACAAGCCAGATAAATAGAGCTAACTCTTTG